GTGGGCATAATACTGGCTATTTATTTGGGTCGACGAAGATCCTCAATACGGCCCTGAAGGCAGTGGGATGAATGACAAGTCGGAGGGTAGTAGCGAAGGGTTCGGGTAAGACATCTTTCAGATGGTGAAAACAACACAGGATATCCAGGGCACCATATAATCATGTAAAGCGATTGAGACTAAGCCGGCGACAGCCTGATAAAACGGTTTATCTGGAGAACAACAGCAAGGATGTTTCGACGAACCCAGCGCGACAAAACTGATCTTACGCTTCCCCTATCTTAACGCATTAACGGTAGGTGGCTTTATTTGTAGGCCAGTCATGTCTACCTTGATAAACGTCGTACGCAACATTCTATATGGAAGCGGACAAACAAGCAAGAACGCAACTCGTACCGATGGCACCACCGCTGTGGTAGGTGGCTTTGTAGGCCAGTCATGTCTACCTTGATAAACGTCGTACGCAACATTCTATATGGAAGCGGACAAACAAGCAAGAACGCACGCAACACCGATGGCACCACCGCTGTTTGCCCACGACGGCTTACTGATCAGCGGCGGATTATTCCCAAATTAACCTTCCCACATGGCCACTAAGAAGCTGATCCCACTGTTTGCAACCTGGGACACTGCCAGAGGTAGTCAGCTCTGGTCAATTCAGAGTACTCCATGTCGATAGGTACCGAAAGAAAAGATTAGGCGATAGTTTGTCTGACTTGAAGCGGTGGTTTTACATAGGCATATTTAATGGTCCTGTCTGCTTGAAAAATCAGTGAAAAACTTAGTAACATTTGGAAAGGAACATTTAAGTACCTCACCGTTGTTATGCTGAGTTCTAAATCAAGCAACAGCTCGAAGATAGCATGTTCTTGAAAAGTTTTTCTTACGGACAGGCAGTACAGGACAAACAAAAGAAACTCTAGCACGTAAGTATACGTGTGGGCAAATGGCGATAAGTGACGGGCATCATTTTGGCGAAACCGATTTAGAAGAAGGAGGTTTTGGAAGTATCTGGGAGTGTTTAAAGTTTCTAGGTTCAGATATGTGAGTGGTACTGAATTTGGCCCACACTACTGAAAGTAGTGTACAGTGTTTCATGTCCACAACAAGGAAATTGCTAAACATGGAGTACT